GCCGCCACGGAATCCACCCGGAATCGCCGAAGCCCACCTAAAGCCCTTAGGTCTCTGTCGCCCCACTGCGCGCCCGCCACTCACCACTGACACATGCGCAGTTGCCTCAGTGCGCAGACGCCGTGCAAGGGACGGCCGCGTTTGCGCAGGCGCAGTCGGAAGCGGTCCTGGAGTCTAGTCCCGCCCAGTGAACCCAGGCTCCTGGTGGTCAGCTAGTTTCCCACTAGGTTTGTTTGCCCCGACGGTCTTAGAATTGAAACACGGACTGAAACAATGAAGGCTTCATAGTATTAGGGGATTCAGAAAGTCTTCCAAACCCATCAGTCTTTCAGAGCTTTGAGCGTTGAATGCACGGGGCGTTTGTGAATACATATTCTACCAGCTACACTACCTAGCGTGGTGGCTGGCACACAATAGACCGGAATTATGGCTAAGGCTCCCTTTCCTTCTGTTGTAATTTAAGAAAAGCAGTGCACGAGAGAAAGACGCCATGCGACAGGGTTCAAGCAGAGGGGATTTTTATTAGGGATAGGGATCTTAAAAAACGAAAAGGGAAGGGGAGAGACCAGCCTCCAGAGACAGGAGCAGTTGGAGAGAGGAAAGAAAGTGGGGGAGAGAGAGAGGGAGGGGAGAAAAGTTCAAACCTTTTGCTTGTTTTGTTTTGCTTATGTTTTTTCAAGACAGGAAAGCTCTCTCTGTAGATCAGGCTGGCCTCAAACTCAGAAACCTGCCTGCCTCAAACTCCCGAATGCTGGGATTAAAGTTATGATCCACCGCCCAACTAAAACCTTTTCATCTCCAATAGTTGCTGGCCACTCAGGTAATACATAATGGTTAATATTTTCCTTGTGGAATTTATTTATTATAACTTAAATGTTTTTCATAAATCATAAAAAGTAATATCAAAGGCAAACTAATCCTTATTGGAGTAAAGGTGAAATTGTTCAGTCAATCACCTAAAAGATGATTTCAAATCAATTTCAGTTCGGGAATTATTCCTTTTCCATTCAGCAATGGTGCAAAGCATACTTTGAAAGATCTCTGAAAATAGAAATAGTCAGTCCTGGTGCCCCACATCTTTAATCCCAAGACCCAGAGGAAGCAGATGAATCTCTCTAAGTTTGAGTGCAGTCTGGGCTGCACAAGTTCTTGGAGAGCAGGGCTACATATTAAGACTGTATCTCCAGTTCCAGGATATCCAGGGTTGTTACACAGAGAAACCCTGTCTCAAAAAGCCATAAATAAATAGATAAATGAATAATCTAAGCTCGAGTAATTAAGATTTTTTTTAAAGATTTTATTTATTTATTATGTACACAACATTCTGCTTCCATGTATATCTGCACACCAGAAGAGGGCACCAGATCTCATTACTGATGGTTGTGAGCCACCATGTGGTTGCTGGGAATTGAACTCAGGACCTCTGGAAGAGCAGTCGGTGCTCTTAACCTCTGAGCCATCTCTCCAGCCCGAGTAATTAAGATTTTTAACCACACAAATTAAAAATAATTAAAGTTATTAATCAAGTAAGATTTATTTGATAATAGACTAAGTCATAAATTAGTGTTGACAGGAAACTAAAGTTTGGAGATCACTTGTTGGATTTTTCCCCCCAGTAATAGCAGCAGCAGCAGCAGGTGCATTAGAATCGCTTTGCTTTCCACAAAACCCTGCAAAATTCAGATGTAGCCAATGAGACAGAATCTTGAGGTAGGGCATTTAAAAGTTGGTGGAACCTAAAAGCTTATCCCTTGTTAATGACATTATGCCCCCTCTAAATAGGTTGGACAGAGGGTGTTGCTCTCTCTTGCTTTTCAATGTCAGCTATATGAACAAACAAGAAAGCCATCACCAGACACCCATGCCTTCATCTTGGACTTCCTGGCCACCAGGACCACGAGAAACCATGCTGTTCTTTAAACTAGTCAATTCAAGTATCCTCTTGTATAGGACAAGAGGACTAAGCCAGCTGACTGAAAACAAGGTCATTTTGAAATAGAAGAGGTAAGAGTGGTATGGCTAACATTTTTAAATGTTTAAGGACTGGATATGGAGGGTTCAGTGAGTAAAAGTGCTGACCTTCATACTCTGACTGAACCCACCTGCAGTCTTGTGTGCATACACAGTATTTAGTGAATGTTAGATGTTGAACCTTTGCTAGAATATATTTACCAAGTAAAACGAATTTAGCCTTGTGGTGGCATTTTGTTTATGATGTAGCACATAAAGCTTGCCTGAAGATCAGAGTGCAAAGCTGACCACACTAGTCAACCATACAGGCCAGGCAGTGGTGGCACATACCTTTAATCACAATCACAGCAGCCACACTAGTTAGCCATAGAGGTTGGGCGATGGTAGTGCAAGCCTTTAATCCTAGTCCTAGAGAGGAATATAAGGCTGGTGGAGACAAGACAGGAATACAGTGTATTCAGTCTACAGTCATGCTGAGGACAGGATCAACTGGTTGGTAGAGGTACAACTCTCTAGTGGTTGGCAGCTTTGCTTTTCTGATCTTCAGGCAAGCTTTATTTGTTAGATCATAAACAAAATATCACCATAATTCCCCCTTTTGTCTAATACAAGAAAGGTTATAACCAATATAAGAAAAACTATATACAATAAATATAGGCAATTTCAGAGAAAATACTCCATTATCTATCCTACCTTGGTGAGTTCCAAAGGTTGTATCTAATTCACTTTCTATTCTAATTTGCACTATCAAACTATCTTTTAATATCTCTCAGCCTTTTACACTTTACATTTCTTTAGTGAGTTTCTTTTCTGAGTCTGGTAAACAAGGAAGACGACTATAACTATCTGGTCTTCAACTCCCTCAGAGAACCGAGAAAGGAAATAATATTTACTTGTTAGATCATAAACAAAACATCACCACATAGCCTTAGAAGTAATAAAATAAAACTTAATGAACATCTAGTACTCTTTTATCTATCATTGTTCGAAAGTTTCATTGCGGGAGTTGTGGTAGTTTGAATGTAATTGGCCCCCATAATCTCATAGGGAGTGGTGCTATTAGGAGGTGTGGCTTTGCTAGAGTGGGTTTGGCCTTGTTGGAGGAAGCGTGTCATTGTGGGTGTGGGCTTTGAGGTTTCCCATGCTCAGGATATCACCCAGTGTCTCAGTTGATTTGCTGTTGCCTGCAAGTTGTAGGACTCTCAGGTACTACTCCAGCACCACGTCTACCTGCACACTGCCATGCTCCCCATCATGATGATAATAGACTGAACCTCCAAAACCATAAGCAAGCCCCCTCACTTAAATGTTTTCCTTATAAGAGTTGCTATGGTGCCTTTTCTTTTTTTGGTTTTTCGAGACAGGGTTTCTCCATATTGCTTTGGAGGTTGTCCTGGCACTTGCTCTGGAGACCAGGCCGGCCTCAAACTCAGAGATCCACCTACCTCTGCCTCCCAAGTGCTGGGATTAAAGGCATGAACTGCCAACGCTCCGAAAAGATTTATTTATTATGTATTCACTGTTCTGCCTACACTTATGCCTGCAGGCCAGAAGAGGGCACTAGATCTCATTATAGATGGATGTCAGCCACCATGTGGTTTCTGGGAATTGAACTCAGGACCTCTGGAAGAGCAGCCACTGCTCTTAATCTCTTGAGTCATCTCTCCAGCCCTGTCATGGTGTCTTTTTACAGCAATAGAAACCGACTAAGACAGAAGTTGGTACCAAGGACTGGAGTATTACTGTGATAGCCCTGACCACGTTTTTGTTTGGAGTAATACAGATTTGGGGAGTTTAGGTTAAGAAAGCAGTGGGTGGGCTGGAGAGATGGCTCAGAGTTTAAGAGCACTGACTGCTCTTCCAGAGGTCCTGAGTTCAATTCCCAGCAACCACATGGTGGCTCACAACCATCAGTAATGAGATCTGGTGCCCTCTTCTGGTGTGCAGATATACATGGAAGCAGAATGTTGTATACCTAATAAATAAATAAAATCTTTAAAAAAAGAAAGGAAAGAAAGAAAGCAGTGGAATGCTTTAACTTCTGCTTCATGGGTCATACTAGTAGGAACATGGAAGACAGGTGCTGAATGGGTTTTGATGGACTGTGGGGAATCAAGAGGTTCCAGAGGAGAAGAATGCTAGTATGTGGCCTAGAGTCTGGTCTTGTGATAGTCTGGTGCTTTTTGCCATTGTCCAAAAAGTCTGCCTGAAGCTAAAGTGAAAAGTTTTGGATTAATTCTGTTGGCAGAGGAACTCTCAAAACAGCCTAATATAAACTCTGTTGTATGGTTATTATTGGTAACAATATTGAAGATTTATAATGAAAAGGAGCAAGCAGAGCAGAGTAAATTACAAAATGTGAGGAGAAAAGACACACCAGGAAGTGGATGGAGCTAAATCTTGTGTTTAAGGAGATAAACAGATTAAGAAATGGAATAAAAGGAGGAGAGACTTCAGGACAAGATCCCACCCGCTAAATTTCCAAATTGTGAAAAGGAACTAAAGAAAAGTTTAGAGCTGGATGTAGTGGAGCATACCATTAATCCTAACACTTGGAAGGCAGAGACTGGTGGATCTGAGTTTGAGGCCAGCCTGTTCTAGAGATCCAGTCAAGCTTAAGTAGTAAAGGACAGAAAGCTTGTGAAGAAGTAATTGAAAAGGGGGGCCATGTTCCAGTCTCAGCAAGCAGAAAAACTTGGCAGCTTCGGTCATGTGGCTCCAGATTTAGAGTTAAGGGTAGATTAAAGGAGTTATGAATAAAGCTGATGAGGCCAGGCATGAGTCAGGGGTGTTCCTGAATGGAGGCCTAGTAGAGAGGCCATTTCGTGAAGCTGTCAAGTTGAAGCCTGGATTGCCTTAGAGAACCTAAGATGTTAGAGACATCAGAGCCATGAGATACCAGCTGAAGGAGTTTGCTAACAAGGAGTGGGACCAGCACAAGAAAAATAAGTGTGTTACAGTTAACAAACCTGAACAGAGCTGCAGATCTGAAGAACATTTTGACATCAGACATGGAGCTGCAGAGTTTGGAGTTTTCCCAGCTGGTTTTAGGTCTTGCTTTGGTCCAGTTTTGTCTCCCTATGCTCCCTTCCATGTGTTTTGAATGGTAATGTATATCCTGTGCCATTACATGTTGGAAATATGTGGTCTGCTCTTTTATTTTTACAGATGATTACAGTTAAGAGATTGCATAAATCTCAGAAGGACTTTGGACTTTAAGACATTGAGACTGTGATAAGGACTATGGAGACTTTTGAAGTTCGACTAAACACATTTTGCATTATGATATTGTTACACGCTTAAGGGAGCCAGGGAGTGGAATGTGGTAGTTTGAATGTAATTGGCCCTAATCTCTCAGGAAGTGGCACTATAGGAAGTGTGTCACTGTGAGGGCAGGCTTTAACGTTTTCTATGTTCAGGATACCACCCAGTGTCTCAGTGGACTTCTGGTTGCCTTCAAGATGTGGTACTCCCAGCTATTCCCCCAGCACCGCATTTGTCTGCACGCAAAAACCCTAAGTAAGATAGGAGGCTAGAGAAATGGCACAATGGGAATTACTCTTCTAGAGGGCAGATTCAGTTTCCAGCACCCATAGCTGGTGACTTATAAGTGCCCGTAACTCAAGCTCCAGGGGATTTCATGCCCTTTTCTGTCTTCCATACACCAGGCACAAATACCGTGCACATACATCCAAGCAAGCTGTCACACACACACACACACACACACACACACACACACACACACACACACACACACACATATATTTTAAAAAAAAAACTCCACTATGATAATAAAATAGCTCATCCCTACTAAGTTCTACTGTTTTATTGTGTGTGGGTGTTTTGTTCCCATGTATGGCTGTGCACCACAGGCATTCAGTGCCCAGGAGGCCAGAAGATGATGATGGATTCCCTAGAATTGGAGTTACGAATAATTGCAAAGCATCATATGGGTGACGAGAGTCAAACCTGGATGTTCTGCCTGAAAAAGTGCATCACCATCTCTCCTGGTATATGAGTTCTTGTCCAACGGGCCGGATGAGGCAAAAGCCCACGGGGACAGTTGCACCCAGCAAGGACCAGTGGACTTCGAGACAGCATAGAATATTGCTGGGACCTCACAGCCTGCATGCACTCTTCTCTCTCATAATATTGATGATTCTCTTGATAGTTTTAGTGTCATTTTGTCAACCATGCATGGGGCAGATGTGATCATTCCTGGAAACCCTAATTTTTTCTGGAACATTTTCCCCTAAAATTCTTTGGGAGCTGATGCTTCTCAGGTTTCTTGTCTGGAAATGCCAGCTGTTACTCCAGACCCCAGGAGCTGTTCTGATTTAGTGCTGACAGGATCAGAGGCAAATCACCCCTATTTCTGTAAATATGTTTTGAATGGGATTGCTGTTCTTGAAAATGTGTGCCTGTCAGTCACCTTTAGTTTTGTATAGACAGGATGTAACTGGCTCAGTATTTGAGCTAGCAAAATGATGTGTTGTTTTGGTTTAAAGATGTTTTGATGTAAAAGTTGGGGAAAAATATATTTGACATATTTCGTTTTCCTGGAGGTTAATGTTGGAGGATGGGAAAAACTTGTTTGTTAATATACAAAAAAATGCTTGGTTTTTTTTTTACATGCTTGTTTTTAAAATATAAGTAAAGGCCAGGCGTTGGTGGCTCATGCCTTTAATCCCAGCACTCGACAGGCAGAGGCAGGTAGATCTCTGTGAGTTCGAGGCCAGCCTGGTCTCCAGAGCGTGTGCCAGGACAGGCTCCAAAGCTACACAGAGAAACCCTGTCTCAAACAAAACAAAACAAAACCAAAACAAACAAACAAACAAACAAAAAAGAAACCCTGTCTCGAAAAACCAAAAATAAATAAAGACAGCTGGGAGCTTTCTGTGAAACTCATCTGTGTAGCTGGAGTTCCAATTGGTCTTAATAATAAAAAAAAACCCTGAACTTTCCCATTATGCAGAGACTGGACAAAAATGATACAGCTTGAAAATTAGCCCAAATCTTTTCTTTTCAGGATCCCTAAAAATGCCGTCCACCCCAGACAACAGGAAGTAGCTTTAAGAGCATCAAATTCTCAAGAGGTGGGGTGGGTGGGTTTTGGTCATTCAATAGGTAAAGGATATTTGTCATTGTTTAGGGGGGACTGGTCACAAGCTGTTATTGGTAATGGCAAAAAAAAAAAAAAAAGGTCTACAAATACGATAGCATGAGAGGGTGGATTATTGGTCTACTGTGGAAAGAAAAAAGGGAGGATACAGACATAAGATAAACAGGGAGATTATTGAATCTACTTTTAAAAAGCTACTACTAGTTTTAAATATTTTACACTGCATTGGACTTTTGTACACTGTATACAAATTCTATATATTGACAGAAATTTGAGATTAATTTGTTAAAACACATTGTACATACATTTCTAATATTGTTCAAGGTATTGTATTTACACAGCTCATTTAGCAATGCAATTCGAATTTATAGTCCTTGAAAGTTATTATGAACTATGTAAGATAATAAGGAAATGTAGGTTAGTAATTAGTCACCTCTTACTATTGAACTTGTAGTCACATTAGATATGTTTTTTCTTCCTTCCTTCCTTCCTCCCTCCCTCTCTCTCTCTTTCTTTCCTTTCTTTTTTTGGTTTTTCGAAACAGGGTTTCTTCTGTGTGGCTTTGGAGCCTATCCTGGCATTTAATCTGGAGACCAGGCTGGCTTTGAACTCACAGAGATCCATCTGCTTCTGCCTCCCCAGTGCGGGAATTAAAGGTGTGTGCCACCAACGCCTGGCCTGTTAGGTATGTTTTCAAGGTCAAACATATATTTTAGAAAGATAGGTCTTCAAACACTTCGGAGATCTACGGAATATGACATTTAAGATAATTTAATAACATGTATTTTTTTTTTATGACAATGAGACATGTCTGCTCCTGGCATCACCAATCTATTTCAGAGATGATGGGCACTGAAGAAACTCCACATGGAGTTTACTTTCTTTGTTGCAAAAGTAAACTACTGGGCAAGAAAGTGCCCTTGCCTCGACTGCTGACAGTATGCTGTCCAAACTGAACAAACAGGACACAAAACAAACAGGATACAAGAAAAGGCCGGACAGCCCTCTAGAAAATCCTGCTTCACAGAAATGTCTGTCAGATATGCTAGGCCTGTAGTCTAAGGATGGATGCCCCAATGTTGCAGAAGAACCTTGGGTGACTGTCTCAGCAGCCAACTGTTCTTGTCATTGCTACAGTTTTCAGAAATCACTGGCTTACATTTCCTGTTTATTCAGTTAATATTATTTCCTTCTTGGGTCTCTGAGGAAGTTGAAAACTAGATAGTTATAGTTTTTCTTGTTTACCAGACTTAGAAAATAAACTCACTAAACAAATGTAAAGTATATAAAGTTGAGAGACATAAAAAGAAAATTTGATAATGCAAATTAGAATAGAAAATAAATTAGGTACAAGACTTTAGACTCACCAAGATAGAATAGATAATGGAGTATTTTCTCTGAATTTGTGAAATGCAAATGGACTAGACGTTGTTGATTAACTTACTGCCTGTGTTGATAAACTTATTGACTGTATATAGTGTATATACTTTTTGGAGTTTTTATGTTAGTCATAGTCATTTTTTGTACTAGACAAAAAAGGGGAATTGTGGTGATAAATTATTTATGGTTTATTAAAGCTGAGGGTACAGAAATCTCCCATTTAATAAATATCAAAACAATCAAACCAGTCCCATAATGGATTCAACATGTCAAATGTATTGGTCAAATGCAAACCACTCAATATAAGTTCAGCATATACTAGGAGGACCTGAATTCCAACCCCAGCACCCACACAGAAAGCTGAGTATTGCTGTGCATATCTGTAACCTTGGTACCATTTGGGGAAGGGATGATAAAAGGGTCATCTTGGCTTGCCAGCTGCCAGCCTAGATTCAGGATCAGTGAGAGACCCTGTCCTAATGGACTAAGAGAGTAATAAAGCAGGCTACCCAAGTCCTCCTCTCACTGTTGTGTATGGCCCCAGGTTATGTTCACATTCTCAGGAGGGTACACCTACCTACCTACCTACACACACACACACACACACACACACACACACACACACACACACCTACCTACCCCCCCCCACACACAGGAAATTTGCTCCCTACTATACATATACAGGATTTAAAACAGGACAAAGGATGACGGTGTGCAGAAAAACGCTGGTAGTTCCCCACACCCCTGAAAAGACAGAGTTCAACTCAATTCTTTACTATAATTTTGGCCCTATTTAATGATTTAATCAATCACCCTAAAATTATTTCTCAAGCCATGGGCTGTGAGAATATTATAGATTATTAATAAAATTGATTTTCCTCTCAATTACTGAATGTCCTAAGGATCTGCATATTCCCACAAGGCAATGCAAATCTTGCTTCTGGTTGTATAGATCTGTTTACTTTTGAAATTATCTGAGGTGTAGCTGGGCGTTGGTGGCGCATTCCTTTAATCCCAGCACTCGGGAGGCGGATCTCTGTGAGGCCAGCCTGGTCTCCAGAGCGAGTGTCAGGATAGGTTCCAAAGCTACAGAGAGAAACCCTGTCTTGAAAAAAACCAAAAAAAAAGAAAAAAAAAGAAATTATCTGGGGTGAAGATGGGGCTGGATGGCATAGGTTAAGAACACACACTGCTCCCACATCATCAGCTCACAAATACCTGTAACCTGAGCTCTAGGGGATTCAATTTCTTCTTCTGGTGATGAAGGCACCAGCACTTATCCACACAAACTCCACACAGACCCACCCACTTAAACATAAATTATTTTAGCAATGTATAACATACCCAGTGTAGTGTCTACCCATTGTCTCATAGCCAACAAGCACATTTCAGTTATTGTATCCCCAAGCACCTATGAGGGTTTGAATGAGAGTGAACCAAAGAGGCTCATAGATTTACATGCTTGGTCACCAGGGAACAGTGTTATTTGAAAGGACTGGGTGGCGTGGCTTTTTGAAGTATGTTACTGTGGTGGGCTTTGAGGTTTCAAAAGTCTAAGCCAGGTCTAGTGGTGCTCTTCCTGATGCCTGTGGGTTTGGATGTAGAACTCTCAGCTACTTCTCCAGGATCATGCCTGCAGGTATGCCATCATAATAATAGACTAAACCTCTGAAACTGTAAGCCAGCCCCAATTAAATGCTTTTGTAAGAAAGGCTGGGGTCATGGGGTCTCTTCATAGCAACAGAACACTTGGCAAACTGAAGAAACATGGCAGAGAGCGGTGCTGAGAGCAATGTAGATTATAATGGCCTGGTTCAAGAGGTCTCAAGAACATTAATTAGTAAGTGGCCTAAAGACTGTTCTTTCGATAATTTGGTGAAGAATGTGGCTGCTTTCTGCCCTTGTTAAAAAATCTGCCTGAGGCTAAATTGAAGTTTTTGAATTACAGGTATTGGCAGAGGAGATTAGAAGACATCCTAGAATTGACTCTGGTGTGTATTAGTGGTCACTCTTATGCAGATCTACAATGAAAAGGAGCAAGCTGAGCAAGGAAAAACACAAAAGGCACAGTTTTAGAGAAAAGGAGCAACAAGCAATGTATGGAGCTAAGTTCAGTGCTCACAGAGATTAAAAAGAAAAGGCCCCATGCTAAATGGAATAAGGGGAGTGATGACCTGAGGGCAATACCGCACCCAGCTTCCCAGCTGTGGAAGGAATGAAAGGAAAGCTTGGGGAACAAATTCCTGCCCCAGCAAGCAGCAATCTTGGAACAATACTTGAGGTTCTGCCTTTAAGGTCAAAAGTACCAGGAAGGGATTTTGCAATCTCCCTCCATGGTTAAGGAAAGCTCCTGAGGTCATGGATGTGTCTGGGCATCCTTATCTGGAGGCCCAGAGGGACCACTGTTCGAAGCCTGGATTTCATTGGAGACCCCAATGAATGTTGGAGATGTCAGAGGTGTGGAATACTTGTCAAGTAAGGCTGCTTATTAACAGGGTTAGCAAAACCAGTCAGGGAGAGAAGTATAATGCAGTCAACAAAGCTGAGAGGAGTTGGAGATCTGAAGAAGGCTTTGACATAAGACATGGAGATGCAGAGTTTGGAGTTTGCACTACTGGTATTCTGTCTTGCTTTGGTCCAGTATTTCCTCATTGTGCTCCCTTTCATCCCTTTTGGAATGGTAATGTATATTCTGCACCACTGCATACTGGAAATATGTGATCTGCTTTTTTTTTTTTTTTTTTTTTTTGAGACAGGGTTTCTCTGTGGCTTTGGAGGCTGTCCTGGAACTCACTCTGTAGACCAGGCTGGCTTTGAACTCATGGAGATACGCCTGCCTCTGCCTCCTGGGACTAAAGGCGTGCGCCACCACCACCCGGCTAAACTTTAGATTTTTAAACATTGTTGAGACTGTTATAGACTGGGAACTTTGGATATTGCTACAAGCCTATAGGGGCCAAGAAAGAATTTGGAGGTGTGTTACTGTGGTTGGCTTTTGATCTGGATGTAGAACTCTGTTACTTCTCCAATACCATGTGTTGCCATGTTTCCTGCCATGATGATAACGGACTAAACCTCTGAAACTGTAAGCTAGCCCCCAATTAAATGCTTTCTTTTATAAAAAAAAGGCCTCAGTCATGGTATCTCTTCACAGCAACAGAAAACTAATCCAACACCCATGAACAAATCACACGTGGTCAAACCAAAATGTAATAAAAATATTTAGTGAAAACATATTTTAACGCCCATTGAAGGATTTAAAAAATACAAATAAAGTTTTATCAATTTGATATTCAAGTTATAATTGGTTTAACACATAGCCTTGGTTTATTTCCTAATCATACTGAAGTATCTTTTGAAAAGTTAAATGCCTTCAATAGTTTTATTAATAGAGGTAAATATTTAGACAGTATATTCATCCCTGGGTCTCTTAAAAAAGAAACTAAAAAGTCTTAGTGTAAGTTTAAAATTTTAATATTTATAAATTTAAAAATGTTACACGTGCTGAATGATAGCAGTGCTGACATTCTGTGACCATTAAACCACAGCTCACTGCATAGAACTTTTTTGTACAGAGAATAAGATCACAATACCAGGATTTGCAATTTGTCATAATTTCGTGGTAAAGGACACCACACCAGGAAACCTGGGCTTAGAGCACACTTGAGGTCAGATTCCCCACCCCCACCCCCAGTAGGTTCATAGTGCAGACATGGTAAATTACTTCAGGCTATGAAAATTAGCCGCCAGTACATACCTGACAGCTCCTAATAGCTAAGAGGCCTAAAAATGCAGACAGGACAAGAAATCCAAACCTTCCCACAACTGGGAAGTTCTGGGAACAGGTGAAGAGCAGGCCACAGTGGGTACAGGGAGCTGCCTAGTGCCAGTCACACATCTCCCACTCTACAGGAGGGAACCACCACCACAGCTGAATATTTCAGTCTTTACAGAGACTTCCATGTACACATCTATAGGACAGAAACAGTTCAACCATCTTCAAAACTAGCAATATGAATGTCCATTATTAATCTTCTATTTTGACCTGAACCAAATGTACTCTTTGGCTATATAAAAGTCATGGTTTCCCCTTATAATCAACCAGGAACACTTCATAATTCTTATGCCTAAGGAAAAATGAAGTTAAACTTGAGCCATGGCCCTTTAAACCAACTTGAATTCAGTAAGATGTCTAATTTGGACATTTTTCTTTCTAATTCTAGAAAAGTCAAGTTTTAAAGAAATGTAGTGTTTTCAGAAAAAGTCAGAAAACACTCATTTACATACATTTTCAAATAATTTAAAAATACTGTACATCCCCAAATCATCTGTTATTCTGTGGGAAGTTTTATAGAAAATTTATAATGTTAAAAACCTCATATCCAAATGAGTTCCTTATTCTTGGAGGAAAACAAGAGACATCTGACCAACACTACAATTCCTTCAGACTTGGAACTGATAGTGACAATCACTCAAAAGACACAGCTAACTTAGTGCCAATGACAATCACCTCTAACAAAGAGATGGCAAACAAGATATATGTAAATGCAAAACAAAGAAAAATATTTTCAGGGTTCTGTCAACACTACCTATCCCCTAGGAGACTCCAATTTGAAATACTGAAAACTGACAGCTAGTGTCCCTTCAGTACTTGAGGGGTTCATACAAATATTAACAGAGATGAGAGACAGGTGATGATTACACAGTCTTGACTGCAGGAAGAGTGTTGAGTGATGTTGAGTGGGGAAGATTACAGGTCTGTTTGGTTTTTAAGTGAAAATTGTGACACAGTATTTGATTATCATTAGATATTTTTCCATACAATAAATTTGAAGTGTTTAAGTTTTGGGAAAAGCTTACAAAGTTTACAAAAATGTCAATTTTATCAGACAAAAACAATACAGGGGTGTTTACATAACACAGTCTTCCACCAGAATAAGACTCAACTACTACATTAGGACACTGTCAAATACATCAACCCAACACCAAGGCATCAAACTACCCTTTGCAGAGGCCAACAAGAGCAGAGTTTAGGAGCTGTTACATTAGCACCACTGTTAGCATACAACCTCCTTAGCGACTCTGATTACTTAGTGACTACGACCTGGGAAAGAAAGAGTCAAGAGGCACAAAATGAGCTAACATGAACAAAAGTAAGGAAAAATAGAGGTTAAAAGATACTTTATGAACAAATGAAATTTAACACAAAAGATGAAAAATCAATTACTTGACAGTGTCCTTTAACATGTATTTTTTTGAAAGATGTATTTACTAACATGTATTTTTAAAAGGGCACAAATGACTTTTTGTGTTAAAAATATTTTCAACAACTTAAGTCAATTTCAATTGGAAAAACTAGTTTTTGAACATGAAGTTCATGGCCTCAATACCCATTAGGACAAGAGCTTCAAGAAGAAAGTGGAACAGCAATGAAGTTCAGAAGTTCATAAAGCACATGTAAAAACAAAATAAAAGACCAAACTAAACAAATACCCAAAAAAGCAAACAAATGCACACACACACCCTGAAAAGTCTGGTTGGTACAATTAAGTGGCATTCCCATTATCTGAAATATGGTGGTGTCTTTTCACCCTCAATCAGCCACTAATCAGCATTCTGGTGATCATGTAAGCATTATTTGGTCCAATCTAAAACAAATCTTCCTTCTATTAAAAGTGGTGTAACAGAATTGAGTATCATAGTAGGATCTGAGCAATTTAATATAGTTCTGTCCGTACAGAAGTTATACACAGATGCCTTTTTACTTACCAAAGCACCCGTTCCTACCCATCTCTACTTGAACTTGATTTTGTGCCTTTTGGCAAAAGGCTCATACCTCACACACACACACACACACACACACACACACACACACACACCACACCCGCTGAAGAAACACAGATGTCAAGAACAACACAAAACAGAGTGATTACTGCTGCAGACCACTTCAGGAGAAAAAAAAAAAATCTAAAAACACTCTTAAGTGTTTAAAATACAAAGCATGTAGTTAGAGAATAATATTGTTTTTCTTCTTGTATTTAGAGATTTTTTTTTTCCTCTTCCATTCTTACCATTACTGAATGGTGATCAATTTAGAAGGGTTCTCAAAAAGTTATGGCCTCAGCTCTGTACCCACTCACACCTCCCATCACAGGTACAGGATGCTCTGTTGTAGTTACACAGTCTTCAGAGCACCAGACGTTAAGATGCACACTGTGCAGTTCAGGTAGGCCAGTACCTGCTGGATGGTTTAGCAGAGAGGTGTCAAAAACAGCAGAGGAGCCTGCCCCTCCGACAGTCTCAAATGCACCTGGGTCAGAGGCCTCTTTGTTGCCACTGCACTGTGTGACTGGTCCTGCAGTGCACGTTTCAGAGGACTGCTGTTTATAAATGAGCTTTCATTTTCATAATTAAAACTGGCACACAAAATTAAGTGGAGCATGGTAGCAGTATAAAAATCCTGATTAGAAAAGCCAGAGGATCTAAAGTGAATTTTTCTTTTCTCTCTGTCTCTCTCTCTTTTTTGAAAGAACAAATCATACTTTGTAACCCAGACTAGCCTGGCATTCACCACCATGCCTGGCTAAAGTTAAAATTTGAATCTCTGAAACTGAATTAGTGTGGCCCCTGAGGGCAACACCCACTTTAGCATAATTATTGCCCCTAATGCCCCAATGTGCAATAGTCTGTGTGAACTGGTAATTCACATCCATTAAAAAGTTATTGCTTAAGCAAGCCATTCAGAGTAGATACTGGCTGTGTGGCTGAACAGAAACACACTGAGAGGTAACCACATGGGGATGCTCCTCTTGTTTCACTGGGAAACTCACATAAATACATAATCAAAGGGGCAGGAGGGTCATAGCAGCTAATACCCTAAGTCAACTCTTATGTGTTGAGACCAATTTCTCTCTAAACAAATCTGGTTTGTCTTTTCCTCGAAAAATTAAGGCAATGAAATGGCTACAGTTCCTAAAGTTAACTTTACGGAACAAAAAATATACACGTATTTTCCTCAAGTTCAGGCATCACAGTCTGATTAGAAACCTGCCATAATTACACAAAACCTGTAACACTGAGGATGAAGATGAGAAAGGGGGGGAGAAGATGAACTATGAAACTAACAGACACTTGGTGATGAATTTTCTTCCTGCATAATTATAATCACTGAAGGGAGGAAGAGTTGGAAAGCACAAAATCTCTTTCGAGTTTCCACCATCTCTTGCATTGAGTCAAAAACATTTAGGATAAAGAAGGGGGGAGGGGCTTCTTAAAATGGAGACTCCAGAGCTCAACAACCAGGTACTCTGGTGATGTACAGCAGGGCTCAAGACTCCACTCTTAACAACCAGCTCCCCAAGTGATGAAGGGAATCTATGGATATTCTGAAGAATAATGCCAAGAACATACCACCTTTGGCTAGTCACCTATGCTTTGATAAAAGGGCAAAAGGCACTGAATATGAATTTCATGGTGCCCATATCTGTTTGCACATATATGGAATTGCATTTTGAAATTTTAAATTACCATTCAGAATCTAGAAGACAAGTATATGGCAGATCATGGCTAACACCTAATAACAGAAGCTGATTTTAAGTTGACCTCTCCTGTTTCACCAAATTCCACATCGAAGAAGTCTCAGGCTCTCCAATATCCAAATGGTCAAATGAACTGAGGAATAGGCCAAGACTCAAGTCAACTTTCAGCAATTCAGTGCACTTTGCAGAAAGGATCTAAGTTAAGAATATAGCTCTGTTGTTTATTTTACACAAAGGAGACCACCAACATTTGCCATAAATTCTTCTAAACTCTTTAGGAAGGCCACCTTCTGCTTCCGGTCCAGGGTAGGAGGAGTGCTGCTTGCAGTGAGCTTGTTGAAGGCATCTGCTAATCTCTGGTAAATAATTGGGTCTTGCTGACTTGACAGTAATGTCTCAACCAGTTCAGAATACTCGGCCTGCAGAAGAAACGAGATAGCCATTAGTGCTTTCTCTGGGGATCCTAGTAGGGACTATGGGGCTAGGTTGGAGGCAGGGCAGACAACTCTTTCCAACAGTTCAGTGTTTCCTGTTCTCACCTCATCTGTAGGTCAATTCATTTAAAATGTATGCTGCCATGAGATTGACACTGCTAATGCTCACATTTTACAGATGAAGTAACACTCAAAATTACACTGCCATGAAGCAACAGCACACGCAATCTGGCTCCAGACCCATATGGCAGCACCTTTATGGCACCGACTTTCTGGTTGGTCTGCATTTTGTACATACATAGCCCCTATGTCTATAATGTGAAGGAGAACAGTTCTCTAGTGGCTCATGCAAACATCTTGTCCACCCAGTTCTGAGGACAGCAGAGGCATAGCACAAGTGTGGAGATGTAAGAGCTCTCTCAAAGTGGAGACAGAATATTTTGAAAGTGCCAAATCAGCACTGTAGCTAGTGGCTTTGAATAAAGGGCAGGAATAATGTAGTGGTGGTATTTTCTACTTTTGGTATCCTCTGTCATAATATTAGTATACAGGTGAATGGGCAGAGGCTGGAGGAAAAGTCACCTGGGTCAGAGAAGTGCTGTGGGGAAAGTTGGTCTGTCATTGATTTTCATAAGCTTCCTGGGATATCAGGTATTAGATATAGAGATATAGAGATATAGAGATATAGATTATATAGAGCAAAGAGAAGTAGGGTTCAGCTTCCCACACCCCACCCCTATCGTGTACAGCATTGAGCCAGGGTAGCTACTTTAGCTGCCCTCTCCGAAGGATGGGAGGAGGCTAGTATAATCTCAAAGCATCTTCCCACTATCAAGAAACAGCGCTTCTGGGGTCAGGCAGCAGGAGCCACACTAGCTGTTCCAAAGTACCCACTCTCTGCTTTCGGTGTTTCTGGGGGGGGCAAAAGAAAAATATTTTTTTATAATCATTTACATGTATGTATTGTAGAGAACAATCTGCAAGAATTGGTCCTCTCCTTTCACCATGCTTGTCTTATTTCTAATAAAAGATTTACATCTATTGGTGTGTATGTGTATGTGTGTGTGACTATAAACTTGCAGAGTCAGTTCTCTCCTTCCACCACATACACAGGACTCAAGGATTGAACTCAGGTTGTCAGGCTTGGTGGCAAGCGCCCTCTGAGCCATCCTCCTGGCCCCTCTTGAGCTTCTAAAAATGTACATAGTCTATAAGACGCCAGACAAAGGAATCAGAATGCACTGGCTTATACACACAGGGAAAGAAGCCCACTGTTTTATGACACAAAGGATCACACACCTGAAAGGAAATACTTGTAGGAAGTTGCCACAGAAGCAAAGCACAAGAAAGGAATGCTGAGAGCAATTTTAGCTTGGGGTACACATGGCACATAATATCTATACAAAGGGGGTCTTCACATGCTAGAGTCTGAAAACCCCACTGGTTTTAGGAAGGCAAAGCTTTTCCAATCACTTGGCCATACTAAAAGGTATAAGGTAATGGAAAATTATCCCAACTCGTTCCTTTGTATACTGGATAGGCATTTTGTCAGAATTAGGAGGCAGGTGAGCTTCCGTTACATTAATCCCATGGGAATGATGGTTTAAGATCTTAAAGGTAAAATAAGTAACACATTGTTTTCAAAACACTAAACAAAGTAATACTCCATCCTTCACTCTCTGAAGGCAAACACCTGCTCCCACTCTGAGGCACCTTTCCATTTTTATGAAATCTCAATTCCTCAAAGACAGCCATCACTAAGTGTGTACATGCACCAGGCTCCTAGCACAGGTAAATGAAAGCCACAATTTTAAGTGGAAACAATGACAAAGAATGGCTCAAAACAGAGAAGGGAAAATAAATTTTGTTGATCTGATAAACAGACTGTCAGATAAATACAAAATAAATCCTAGAGCTCATGATGGAGCTGAGAAACACTGAATAGGGACATGGAACTGGGTCTCTGAGTCCTAGTCGTGGATCCACAAAGAAATGGTGGACAATGGTCATCATCGTTCCATGTGAGAGAGGGGTGTCCAGTACCTGATGCAAACACACTAATGTGTAGAACGCTTCTCCGGCTGCAGTAGTCATCTCCGTGTTGTGCTTTTGTAATACCAGCATATCAAAAACCAGCTGAAATTACACAGTAAGATATATCTATGAAATATAAGATTATTATTTAAAACCCTAGTCCCTCCCTGCCTGAAAAAGGAATGGCAATTATAGTCTATTTATTTTATTAACCAATTAATTATTAAATCATTTTTTTGGAATCCAAGGAAAACATGCAGAGGTTGTCTTCTGTGGAATCCAAAAGAGTACCAATTCCCCTTATATACAACACTGTTTAAGAAGAGAACATGCTACGGAAGAACTGGTCTCCAGGAAAAAAAAATAGTGAACAAAGCTGTGGTGTGCACACCTTTAACTTGAGCACTCAGGAAGCAGAGGCAGGAGATCTCTGCGTCTGAGGCCAGCCTGATCTACAGAGCAAGTTCAAGTACAGCCCGGACTATACAGAGAAACCCTGTCTGAAAAAGCCAAAACCAAACCAATCCAAATCTATACACATTGAATCAAGAATTCCATGGACCTGGCAAGATGGTTAAGAGCACTGCCTGCCCTTCCAGAGGACCCTGGTTTGGTACCCAGCATTCACACAGTAGCTCACAATTGTCTGCAAATCTAGTTCCAGGGGATCTGATGCTCTTTTCTGGTTTCCACAAGTACCAGGCATTTACGTGGTACAAAGACATTCATCTAGACAAGACACTCATACATATAAAAATAAAAAAAAGCCCCCTCTTGGGCTGGAAAAATGGCTCAGCGGTTAAGAGCACTGGTTGTTCTTCCAGAGGTCCTGAGTTCAATTCTCAGCAACCACATGGTGGCTCACAGTCATCTGTAATGGGACCCGAGTCCCTCTTCTGGTATGTGTGAAGATCACACTCATATACATCAAATATATGTAAAAAGCCCCTCCCCCTTTTACTTTGAGATGAGGGTCTTGCCAAACTGCATAGTTGGCTTTCAACTCACGCTGTAACTGAGGCAATGCTCATTCATTAGACTCATCAGTTGATGTGGCAGGCAAGTACCACTCAGCTTGGTTTAGAAGATGATTCTCCAACCTATCTATCTTACCTTAAGGAAGTGCCGAGTTGCTAGAAAAAGTGGTGAATCCGTTTCTTGTGCTTTAGCACACTGTTCGGCTAATGGTGTCAAGGCCTCGAGGCAGAGCTGGCATACTTCTGAACTCATTCTGGACACAATGGTCAAAGAGCAAACTATATGAGATATACCCGACTTTATAAAAAATCAAAAACATGACAGCTACATTATGCACACGACTATTTGTAGAAATGAAATACAGACAGTGGGGGTTGACCAGATTGCAATGTCTTAACTGAGTTAGGAAAGAAGTATTTCCATATTAGGTGAAAGAAGTATTTCCATATTAGGTGGCTTCTGAGAGTTTTGAGAGTAGGTCCAGTGATGTCTAGCTTGTTTCGGCAGATGATCTCACAGATGATGACATTATGTCAGCAAGCTAAGCCTAGAGAACCAGCTGGGCAGTTGTGGCGCACGCCCTTTAATACCAGCACTCGGGAGGCAGAGGCAAGCGGATCTCTGTGAGTTCGAAGCCAGTATGGTCTACAGAGCAAGTTCCAAGACAGGCTCCAAAGCTATACAGAGAAACCCTGTCTTGAAAAAAACAAAAAGAGTAGAGAACCAGCTACAATACATTACATGACCTAATGAAGGAATGACTTTAAGGACAGGGGTTAGGTGCTCTATGTATGAAAGGAAAAGATCACACAGATTCACAAATGAAACAGAATTAGAGCTGGGCATGGTGGTGCAAACCTTTGATCCCAGCACTTGGGAGGCAGAAGTAGACAGATCTTTGAGCTTGGACCAGCCTGGTCTACAGAGTGAGTTCCAGGACAACCAAAGGAAAAAGAAAAAAGAAAAAAAGGAGATAGAGAAGCAGGAAGAAAAAGAGTTAAAGCAGCTACAGAGGGGATAGGTTTTTGAAGAAATAAAATTGAACTATAAAAGAAAACCAATCATTTAAAAAAACTTTAAGTATCCCCCTCCTTGAATAACAAAGTTCATTTAAAGGATACGATGTCATTCCTAGTTCTAGGGAATACATCAGACTCTTAAACAGATCTTCAGGAAGCTGGGGTATTTTTTCAGGAAAAATCTCACAAATAAATGTGATCAATTTGTAGTATTGATTACAAAGGGTTGGAAACTGAAAAAGAAATATTAAATATTTTTATGTTCAATACTATCTAATAAAAATGAAACAACTAACAAGCTTTTAAGTAGTATAATGATTTCTTGCTAAGATGTATACAATATATAGAAACATAGCCCTAAAGAAATGTAAAGTGAGTTACAGTAAAGGGAATCTTTCAGTAACTGTTATGAAAAAAATACATAGTAGAAAGAATTATCTTCTGGAAGGCTAATAGGAGATACAGACAAATCCTTATAATCTATGTTGACCCTGAACAAATAAACAAGGCAATCAAACAAAAACTAAAGATCTAGGAACAAAATCCTTTGTTAACATGTTAATTTCCATTTAAGTATGTTAGAAAACATGCTAAACTGTTAAAAGTTATGTGGAAAATAGAGTGGCCAGTCCTTTTTATCTTTCTATTTGGACAGCTCTGAAAAGCTGAGGGGAAAGTAGACAATCTATTTAACCACAGAGAAAATGTGCACCAAATGTTTACGATGGCTGACTTAATGGAATGGACAAACACTAAAAGCAAACCAGTGTACAAAGCTGAATAAACTCTCTCATACTAAGAGTTGTTACAAAAACCCCAGGTACATGGGTTGGCAGGAATTCCTCAGGGAGGAGGCAGTACTAACTGACACCGCTTCTGCTCCTCCGCCCTCTACCTCCGCCTCACGCCCTCTGTCACATACACAGGTGTGTGCACACATGTATGTGACACTTCACACACACGCACAGCCTGCTCTGCCTCACGCCCTCTATCACATACACAGGTGTGTGCACACATGTATGTGACACTTCACACACACACGCACAGCCTGCTCTGCCTCACGCCCTCTATCACATACACAGGTGTGTGCTCACATGTATGTGACACTTCACACACACGCACAGCCTGCTCTACCTTTTGCAGTGTATCCCTGTTTTTGACCTTATCCCACTGTGAGGATTCATAACAAAAGACCTCTCCCCTAGAGTACTTCTGGAAGGAGGAAAGGGCACCCTCAGTGGCCACCCACCCCTAACACCAATGGGTAGAACCAAAGCACAGTACAGTCATAATGTGCACAAATTTTAAAAATTAACCTCGGTTTCTACTATCCTATTTCTACATGGAAGGGCTTGGAGAATACCCACTATGGCTGGCTCCTTTGGTTGAGAATGAAGTTTAAAAACAAACAAACAAAATTCTAAGAGAATTAAAACTGCTAGCAGAACTGTTTTCCTGTGGTACTTCCTGATGAAAAGAGTTGCTAATTATCTGTACACACAGGACTAGGGCATGTGTACTGAGAGATAAGCACAGTAAAATGTAGTAGAAATGCAAAACTGTTAATACTCTTCATGTTCATATTATTTTAATTACCTTCAAAAGATCTTGTGACATTAAGGGCAGAATTAGGTTTACTCCATATAAAACGACATCAGCTGCTGACACAGATCTGCCTGCTGCTTGTCCTGGCTCATGTCCTCTAAATACTTCATCTATCAAAATAAAAAGCATACTTGTACAGTCGTAACTTAAATCTCCAAAGTTCATATTCCTTTATGAAAACATAAATATAGTCAAGCTCAAAGACCCAAGAAATCCATTAATGGGTAACAGATAAATCTGATAAGCCCAGCCCATGCTATCTTTTTGTATTATTTGTTAGGGAATGCAAGTACCCAATACAGTAATAGTAGATAAGTAAGGGCAAGAGACATTCTAGAAATCAGTTAACACATTTAATGCCTTGGCATTTCACTTCAGTACCTCCAGCTAACTTGGATAAGCCTGTTGAACTGTGAAACTAATAAGGCAGACAGTGAACAAGAAAAATGAACCAACAACGTCAACAGAGCAAGAACAATCTCAAGGACTGAACACAGTGAGTAATGTGGGCTGCTACAGTAACAGGTTAGAGAACCTTCAAGAAATCAAAAAATGTCTCTGACTACAAATCCCTGTACAGCCTAAGGCAAACGCTACAAAATGATGTTTTCGCTTATAAAACAACCCACTTATTATATCAAGTTTAACGGTAAAGTTGGCAGGAAGATAAAGCTAACTCGTGAGGGGAGAGACATTCAAACACATGGAGAATTTGCATTGAAGGCAAGAGTAAGCATTACAGCCATTTGTCGGAAACAGCCCTTCACTCTCTAGTTTCTGAAGCAGCTGTACTCCTTCCTGCCTATTACTCTGAGAACACACTTGCAGAACAAACAAGGAAGTTCAGCAACAGCTTCTGAGGGAAGTAGAGACAAACTGCACAAATGAATGAATTTTGCTGACTGACCAAGCTCTTGTCTTTAAGTAGTTTTTCCCCCCTTCTTTCTTTAATCCACTGATTACCAAGCACAGTGCTAGGCAAGACACAAATGTTCTGAAAGGTCTTTATTACCATATTGACTGATAGCTGCAAGGCAGACTAGCTTTCTCTACCCCTTTTATGCTATTAGAGAACCATGTTATACAGCCTGTCAAGTCTGGAATCCAGTACTTCTCACCTCAGTGGGATTTCCTGTGCTGCATCCATGCATGAAGTGCTGGGTTTGATGGGCAATCACCTCAGAGGACATGGAAGAGCCAATGAAATAGCCCTCTAAAGCAGAGGTTCACAACATCCCCAATGCTTTAACTCCTTAATAAAGTTCCTCATGATGTGGTGACCCCCAACCATAAACTATTTCATTGCTACTTCATAACTGTAATCCTGCTACTGCTACAAAGCGTAACTATTTGATATACAGGATATCTGCTGCAGGGGTCCACAGGTTGAGAACCACTGTTCTAAAGAGACTAGGGTCTACAGACACATACAAGGATTTGAATGTGAATTCAAACTTACTAGCTACATGCATGTGGGTGAGTGACCTAACGACTCTATGCTGTCACCTCAAAAGTGAGAGTAGCAATGGCACCTGCTGCATGGCACTGTGAGAAAAGCAGCAGTTGGCATTTACTAAGAACTGCATAACTGGGGAGAAAAGGAGGCAGAAGTCATTTCTCTTTTAGATACAAAGCATCTCTGTGATAGTTGTAGAATAAACTGACTTTTTATACAGGAAAAAAAAACTGAATAAGTAAAAGTTCATATTCATATTGAAAAGTAGACAAGAGAAAAGTCTTCATCTCTACCTTCATTTCAACCAAACGGATTTTCTTCCATTTGTTTTGTAAACTGAACTTTCCCATGCAGTTTTACTTTGAGAAAATAACCTGTAGCTTTAACAGAGACAGTAACAACAACACTGCAAGAGACTACCTGTGTCACTGAAGTCTATGAACTCCTTGGAGAGAAGGTTAGTGAGAAGCTCCATAATGAGAAGCAGGTCCTGGTACTGCTCTTCTTCCGCTGTAACATCTATCCTTTGCCGCCCTAGATTATTCTTAGAATATACTTGCAACAAAGTAAGGCAGGCTTCATATAAATGCATAGCTTTGGACTGTAAGAAAATATGAGGAGTGACATTACTTGGTATGATCTAGTAGATAAGCTCAAGTTTAAAATCTAAATTACAATAGTAGCTCTATATTAACAATGACGAAGGGTTGAGACTTGGCAAAGTACTTGCCAAACAAGCATGGCCACTTGAGTGCAGATCCCCAGTGGTGCATGCTGGGGATTCTAGATCAGAGGGAGGAGACAAGAGGGCTTGCTGGTAAGCTTGGCTTGGACAGCTGTAGGGTAAGTGAGTCCTTGTCTCAGAAAATAAGATGGAGGGAAATACAGGAAGATACCAACCCTTGACTTCAGACACACACACACACACACACACACACACACACACACACACACACACACACACACAGTGCATTAACAATAATAAAAAGAACTGGATGTGATAGCATATGCCTTTATTCTGAGCCCCTGAGAGGCAAAGGAGGATGCAGCTCTTAAGAGTTTGAGGCCAGCCTTAACTACATAGGGAGACCCTATCTCAAAACAAAACAAAAAACTCCAAGAAAGCAACAAGGAAACAACCAAAGACCAGTAATAAAAGTATACTTAAGGTAAGAGCACAGCTATATTTAAAATATTAGCCCCTTTCTAACAAAATTTTGGAGTAAGAACTTATATTCATTCCACATGACTTCCTATTTTGGAGAAATACAAGTATGCATTAAATGTCAAGCAAAGAATGGGGAGTATCATTGCTGCAGAGACTTGTAATCCTGAAGGAATAAAACTAGAAAGTACTTACCTCTCCAAGATAGCATATCTGTTTATGTGCAACTTCAACAAAAACTTCTATAATGAGATTGACAGTTTCTGGAGTATTTTTGTATACTTCCATTAACCCAATGCAATTGTTAAGGAAGTCCATTAAAAAATTAAAAAGAATGGCTACATTGTCGACCTGGGTGGCCTCAGCAATGCCACACAAGGCCTCGAGCGTGGCAGTGATCTCCTGCTTAACATCCTCCTGCTGACACATCTGCTGGAAGTTCTCTTGGTTTATCACTCTCAGGAAGCGCTGCTGAAGAGGCTGAAGGACCTGTGGAGGCACACCACAGCATGACCTTCCTAACTCACACACAATCCTCAACCTGGATGAACATCCCTCTCCCCCACCCCCAATTATTTTGTGAGGGGCGGTTGAGAGAGGGTTTCTCTGTTCAGCTTGGCTGTCCTGGAACTAGCTCTGTAGACCAGGTTGGCCTCAAACTCACAGAGATCCGCCTGCCTCTGCCTCCCAAGTGCTGGGATTAAAGGTGTGTACTACTTTACCTGGCTCTCAAAATATTTTTTATTGGACAGAATGAGCACACAAGACAAGGACTATTTGAACCACTTTAAGTTCCCTACTCCCCCAAGTCTTTGAAACAGGTCTTGCCAGGTAGCCCAGGCTGGAGTCAATTTCTCAGCACTCTTGCCTCTGGCTCCTAGGTATGAGGTATATTGTCCATTTTGACAATCTTCATACCTTGTGCCATATATAAAAAAAAATGACAGCCAAGTCACAGAACAGTTATTTAATCCCATTTTTAAAAAAATTTGTTTTTAAAACACTTTTATTCTCTTATAATTTCTAGTTTTTATTGCATGTGTGTGCTGACACTGGGTATCCAATTTATTGAGGCAAGGAATCTCACGAATCCACAGCTTGCTAATTTGGCCAATCTACGAATCTGGTTTGTCCCAGGGATATTCTTTCTTACAAGTGCTGGGATTTTTGGTGAGCCTTCATGCACACCCACCTTTTTATGTCTGAACTCTGGTCCTTCTATTTGTGGGACAAGTGCTGTATCCACTTAGCCATTTCTCCAGGCCCTATTTGTTTTCTAATAGTCTCACTGTGTAACCCAGGTTGGCCTCAAAGTGTTGCAATCCTCTTGCTGCTGCCTCAGAAAGAATGAGATTATAGGGGTGTATGTGTTTGCGTGCCCACATACCACACTTAGTTTCTTTGAATTCTTTGAATTCTGCCACTTCTCTCTACATTTTTGGGGAGAGCCCGAGAGGCAATGGCGGGGGGGGGGGGGGGGGGGGGGGGGGAATCAGAACTCCTCATCAGAGAATCAACAAGCTTTCTCCAAAGGCCAGAAAATTAAGTACTCTATACACGGCATTTCAGTGGAGCCATATAATCACTGAGCAATAACCCAGTGGTTTATCTATAGCCATGTTTAATCTGTGAGCCAGTTTGCCAATTTTATAATACAGTTAAAATAGCAGGTCCTTATCTGTTTTGGTTTGTCCCCCCTCTTCTTCCCTTTCCTTACAATTCTTGGTATAAAATACAACTTCAGTTAATCATTCATGCTCTGAATGTTTATAGGGCTGAAGAAATGGCTTAGTTGGCAAGGCACTTACCACATATGGTAGAGTGAGTAAGAATGACCCCCATAGGCTCATATATTTGAATGCTTGCTTCCTAGTTGGTGTAACTGGTAAGGATTAGAAGGTGTAGCCTTGTTGGAGGAGGTGTGTCATCCTACACCATTCCTAGTTTGCCTTTCCCTGCCTCATGGTGGTTGTCTCAACATGTAACTATTGCTCCAGTGCCATGCCTGCCTGCCATCATGCTCCTCGCCATGATGGTCATCCTCTGGAACTGTAAGGAGACCCCGCAAATGAATGCTTTCTTTCATAAGTTGCCTTGGTCATGGTGTTTTCACAGCAACGGAAAAGAAAAGTAAGCAAGTCACCCCATAAAGTATAAGGTCCTAAGTTCATACCCCAGCACTCATGTATAAGCTGATTGCCTATAACCCCAGTGCTGGGGAGTCAAGAGGATCCCTGGAGTTTGCTGTTCAGAGACTCTAGCTGAAATCAGTTTCAGATACAGTGAGAGACTACCTCCAACTGTGAGAGCAACTGAGGAAGATGACTCTGGTGAGCCTCTGGCTATTTGTGTACACTTGTATGTGGTAGATATGTACATATGCACGCAGGTGATCACAGGACCAGAGGCATCAGGTCTCCTAGACCTGGAATTTTAGGAAGCTGTGAGTCACCCAAAGTAGATGCTGGGAGCCAAAATTGTGTCCTCAGGAATAGTATGTGTTCTTAACTACCAAACCATTTTGATGAACCAAGAGGAGAATAATTAAATGTCAGCCTGTTTTACCATAGTCACCTTACCTTCACAGATTTTAAGAACATTATAGGCTAGGCGTGGCGACACATGCCTTTTATCCCAGCGCTTGGGAGAGTTTGAGGCCAGATGGGCAGCCTGGTCTACAGAGTAAGTTCCAGGACATCCAGAGCTATACAGTGTGTTGAAAACCCAAAGGGTGGGGGAGAACCTGGGAGAGAACACTGTAGAAAGGACCAGAAGCCAGATTTCTACATATCCACATACACACCTGATTCAAGATTACAGAATGTGCTCACACTATGGGTTGAATTAGAACCTCGGAAAGTGACCTCATTTAAACAAACTGAGATGCAGTAAGTTAGGATTCAGCCATACTGGAGAGTGTGCCCCTACTCCAATATGGTGTCTTATAGATTGAGAAAATTGGGATGCAGAGTAAACAGAGAACCTGTCACCAAAAGGAGTGCCACAGGTTGTCCCTAACTACCAGAAACCACAGACCTCAGAAAGAACACGATCAACACCTTCCTTGGACACTTAGGCAGCCTCCTACATGCAAGAGAGTGAAAATCTGCCTCTTAGGCCATCGTGGTAAGAGAAGTGTCAGGAAACAAACATACTGTAATTTGTATCTCCTTTTCAAAGCAACGGATGCTTTATGGTTCTTCATGTCACAGTTTCTTTCAATCTGGGGGGACAGGCTGATAATCCAAGGCCTTGGCATGTTAAAGCAAGGACTCTTATCTCTGGGATACATACCCACCATGCTTTTCACGTTCTGATAAAGATACACCAATTCATGCTTTCATCTATCTGGGTTGGGAAAAATGTACCTGAAGCATAGAAAACACTAGTAATACTCAATGTGTCCAACAAGCATGGCTGATTGAGCCCTGAGACAGTATTAATCAAGCAATAATAAGCTTCAAATGGCCGATGAGGAGGAAGACCACAAGGCAAGTTATTGCTGAGGTGTTTATGTCTCCAGACTGTTTTTTAACATCTGTAGGATGACAGAAGAATCAAAAGAGAAGGGACTTTTACCTCCGTCCAATACTGCTGCTTGGTTTCTGTGTCCATATGTGCAAAACCTCCTAAGACCAGAGCCTTCATCAGTGTCCTCTGCACTGGACTCGACAAGAAATTAAGAGGTGGGCTTCGGCTTGCAAACTGCTTCGCCAGGTTCCACCAGTTTTCACATTGAATAACTAAGTTTGCCCTACAGGTAGAAATAATAAAATGTAAGTTGTATCTTGTTCACACATATGTATCTACTAAGAAAATAAAGACTCGACAGGGCTGGAGTACTGGCTCAATAGTTAAGAGTGACTATTGCAAAGGACCTGGGCTCAGTCGCAGCACTCACATGGTGGTTCACAGCCACTTGTAGCTCTAGTTTCTGGGTATCTGACGGTCTCTCGAGGCATTTGTAGATATGTGGTGCACAAGAACTCACGCAGGCAATACACACATTAAAAAGTGGTGGTGTGGCATTTAATTTTAAAATCTGCTAAGGCAAGACTTTGCTGTATTACTCAGGTTAGCCACATTATTGCAATCTTTCTGCCTCAGCCTCCTGAGTACTGAGAATATGGTATGACTGGATGGAATTCCCAAAAATGTTTTATTTGTGTGTGGATATGTGTGTCCGTATGTGACACTTGTACAGGTGCCTGTAGTGGCCAGAAGATGACACTGGGTTCTCTGGATGGGAGTTACAGACAGCTGTGAGCCACCCAATGTGGGTGCTGGGAGCCAAACCTGTGTCCTCTGGGAGACATTGGGAGCTCTTAACTGCTGAGCCATCTCTCCAGCCCCTGATTTTTTTTTTTTTTTTTTTTTTTTTTTTGGAAACAGAGTTTTTCTGTGTAGTTCTGGCTGTCCTGGAACTCACTCTGTAGACCAGGAAGGCCTTGAACTCAAGAGTTCTGCCTGGCTCTGCCTCCTGAGTGTTGGGATTAAAGGTGGGCACCACCACTGCCCAGCCATGAATGTAATTCTTAAAGAACAGCATCATAAGTTCACATGGATTCTGGAGCTACATTGGTCTTTAATTGCTCAAGAAAATGGAATTTTTACTTAATTTCTTTTCATCATCAATTTTCTGACTGTAAAGTGATAATGGTTGTATAGCCATTTCCTGGTGAAGGAGGAAGTTCAGGAAACTTCTAAGATTAAGAAAGCCCACTTCTTAGGTTCTATGTGTGGTGATCAATTGCTTGCTAAGCAGACTCTTCGGTACTCTGGTGCCCCCAACTGTGCAAGGGGCTCTAGAAGTGAGCTTTCACGAGAATCACCCATTGGGAGAGTGTGCTTTTGCTTTTTGATGATGCAACTGACCTGCAATTATCCCTCACCCCCACTCCTGTAGTTAACTCTAATAAATCACTCTTTCAGGAAACTGGGCTTGTTCCTTAGTCTATTGCTGCCCTCTCTATTTGGAAGAGGTGGAATCAGATTCTCTGGGTATAACAAGGCAACAGGTGCAGCTCTGAATCTCACGCTCAAGTGAGATCCTTTATGTGCAACACTCAAAGCCAGTAGCATTATCAGCAATAATATTCCTATGAAGTAAGATAAATACAATTTCCTATAGAAAGTACCAAAAGTTTAACTTTGCAACATCAGTTTAAACATATATTGATTCCCAATAAATGGGAATCACTGAGCCAGGAGGTGGTGGCACATGCCTTTAATCCCAGCACTTTGAAGGCAGAATTAGGCTGATCTGAGTTGAGGCCAGCCTGGTCCAGGACAGCTAGAGCTATACAAAGAAACCCTGTCTGGGGGGCAGGGGGACCGGACGGTGGTGTGATGGTGGTGGACAGGACTGGATTGAAAAATATCAAATGGGAACATTTGTACATGAAAGTAGGTTTTTAAAAGATTGTTATTTTATGTTTATGAATGTTTTGCCTGCATGTGTATCTGGTACCCAAACAGGCCAGACAAGGGCATCTTTGGAATCAGAGTCACATACAGTTGTGAGCTACCACTTGTATGCTGGAATCAAATTAGGGTCCTCTAGAAGAGCAGCCAGTGCTCTTTATCTCTGAGCCATCCCTCAAGCTCCTCAAAATGTTTTTAAAACAGGTTCTCTGATGCCAACAGCCAGTGAATTCTCCATCATTACACAGGGAAGTTGGATTTGCATCTATAATAACATTGTACTCTAAAAACATATGTTCTAACTGGGCTTAGATATTGTAACCATTTGTCAGTCACTAAAGAGCAAACTGAAATCTGTGCTCCCCCCACCTCCTTACCTTTCTCTTCTTTCGACCAATGTGACAAGGAGCTGTACAGTGTCATTTGCAAGGTCTTGCTCACTACTCCAGACTGACAGATTGCTGATGACTTTCTGTAAGAGGTAGCCGATAATCCACTGGGAACCCTCTGTATCTGCTCCAAAGGCTGTGCTCAATGGCAAACTTATCTTAAGAGAAGAGATACATTTTCTAAGGTCAGAAAGATCAGCTAAAAAGCAATCTACAGAAAATCAACAATGAAACTAGCAAAGCCTGAGGAGGTGCTCACTTCACATTACTTTTATCGTTTTTCAAATCCAAAAGATAATCCCCAACCCATCATGTTTTCCAACTAATTTTCTGTCAGTTTGAGTTTCATAGTAATTATTCACAAACTGACACTTAAATACTGACACACAGATCTCAGACAATATAAAAACGTGTATTAATCTAATGGGAATATATCATCACCCCCCCTCCCCCGACAGGGTTTCTCTTCGTAGCTTTGTAGACCAGGCTGGCCTCGAACTCAGATATGCCCCTGCCTCTGCCTCCCGAGTGCTAGGATTAAAGGTGTGCGCCACCACCGGGCTTATGGTAATGTATCTTAATACTGGCTAAAATCAATGGAAACAAATCAACACTCTAAGAAAAGACAACAGCACTCCAGTCCCAAGTCCTTCCTGGCACTTAAACAGCTCTGTCTACTTTCTTTCTTTTTAAATTTTTTCAAGTCAGGGTTTCTCTGTGTAGCCCTGGCTGTCGGAGAACTCAGAGATCCACCGGCCTCCCCACCAAACCCTAACAGTTCCATTTTCATAACTGAAACAAACAAACAAACAAAAATCTTCTTACCTCTAAACTTGCCATCATCATAAACTCAAAGAGTTACTGGTTTTACATTCTCACCTGATCATACAGTTTTTCATCTACCAGGAGATAAGTCTTGGCCCAGCGTTTTAGAAACCAAACAATATCTTTGCCCATTTGAGGGCTTAGTAGGTGAGTGAGATCTGCTCTTATTGCTCGAGATTCAACTTCTGAGACTCTTAGCACAGCAGACAACAGCCTGTGGGGAGAAAACAGAAATTGCTAACCCTATTTTTATTTCCATAAAAATCCTTTGTTTCTTTATTCCAGGCTATGTGTAAAAATTCCCAACAGGGTTGCAGATAGAGTCCCCACATTATTTCTGGTCTTCTAGAGTCAAGGAAAAGGAGGGATGAGAAGCACCCTCTACTCAGGCTGTAATTGTAAGTCTCAGCATCACTGTCTAGAGCGTGGCTCCCAGTTCAAAATGGAGGAGCACACAGAATTAAATGTTCAGAGTCTAAGCTAATTTTTCAGCATTCCTCCTGTAGGCAGTTTAAATTTTGTATCACAAAAGACAAGTCCTATTATGCTTTAAGATCTGAGAATTGACTTATTAGAATGTCATAAAATACTGAGCCTTGCCTACAAATCTCATGTTCCTGCACATTATCTCATAATCTTGATTCTTAATGGTATGTTAAGAATAAAAGCCTTCCCAGGACGGTTATATAAGTACACATATTGTCCATCCCCACATTAGGGGAATTAGGAAGGAACATACTAGAAATTATATATTTTCAACTTGACTTTAGCCGAAAGACAAGGAAGTACAGGTTGTAATGAATGTCAGTGCCTAGATTAAGATTCTAATCACCAAGGTTTGGCTTCTGCTCCATTCCTTTTGCTCTCAAGAGGGCTGAAATTCCTGGATAATCAAACTGGTTGATGTGTGTATTTCTTATTCAACTTCTGATCTCACCAAGAAGTACTCAGTGCTGTTGTCCACTCTGCCCTTTGAAAGAGCTCCTCCCCTGGCTGCCTGGGTACCACTTCCCACGTCCCTCTTCATTTGTCTGTTTACCGTTTCCCCATCTTTATTGAAGATTCTTCTCAGCAATTTCTTTAATCAGGAGAGTTTCTACCTAGAAACCTCCTTTTCCCCCTCATTATTTACATGTTCACCATGATCCAGTGCTCAAACTTTCTAAATTCTAGAGTGTATGTGAACAAAACTATCAGAAATCCTAATAACTCCATGTTTTATCAATCATGATGTAATAAAATTTCCCATAAAACTAAATTATTTTAAATATAATTTAAAGCCTAAGAGAATTTGAATTCAAATGCTTATATTAGTACTTTAAAAGTATGCACTGCAATTAAGTCTTTGTAGTGTTGGCAGCCACTACTGTCTATTTAAAAGATTTCCTTTATTTTGAACTTTATTTCCCCAAAGAAAATTATTTACCAATTATGCTATTTTCTTTGATACAGACATTTATATATTATACTTTTCATGAATTTTCAATGATCATAAAACTATAAGTTTTTATTTTTTAAAGGTCTTCTGGATTATAATACTTAGCAGCATACAGCAGGACAAAAATGTAACACAAACTTAAATTATGAGACAGTTTCCTCCAATGCTAGGGCTCCAAGCCAGAAGCTTGTACATGCTAGGCAAAGCGGTCTACCACTGAGCTACAATCTCAGCCCAATTTTGATCATTTCTTGGGAATAACACAGAAGGGCTTTATGTCTCCTACTTAAGTTTATATACTTGTGAATAAATATTACTTAATGTCAGAATCATCCAAAGTTGAGCCAAAGCTGATTCCTTTTTTACATTTAAAGAGATGTAAACACTAGAGAAAAAAAAAAAAAACAGAAAAACTTGCTCCCATTAAAAAATAGAAGTTACTTTTCAAACACCAAGGTCATCCACTACTTGAATTATTTTCAAGTCATACGACAAAGCTCAAGATTAAAAGCCATCCCAGCTGACCTAGTACTGGACTCCCTTTAGTGTTAAGTGATGCAATGGACTGCATCGTTGGCTACACAGCCACCACCACAGGCGATTTAGAACTGTCCTTGGTACTATATGGGCATCCATACACCTTCAAGTCCATAAAGACGAGTGAGCTCAAGCATTTCTTTTGTCTAGCAGAAGAATGATGAAAGGGTAGAAGCAGAAGAGCAGCCCTAGGGAGTCTTCCCTTTTCTACACCATATCCAGAAACCAGCAGCAGCCTGGAAAGCTCTTTCAGAAACCCCTCTCAAACTGAAAGACCAGTTTCTATCTTCTCCCCAAGATTGAAAAGTAACTGCTTCCCAATGTGCCCTGTCTCATTTAACTCTCTACCTTCCACAAGACAGTGACTCTACAGAATAGCTTTCGTCCCTCCTGCAAATCCTACCTCACCTCACCTATGAGAACCAGTGTCTCTCCACCCTACAACAAGTCACACAAATTCTCTTCTCCTGCCTCTTCACTGTCATTGCCAGACAGTATGCCTCCTTCCTCTCATCCTTCAAGTAGCAGTCTGATCAACAAGTCTGTTAGTAGCTTGGGAGAAAGAAAGACTCCCACGCCACTATGCTGTACCCTTAAATCCCATCAGAAGGTAGATTTGAAGAAACAACTGAGCCAAATACTTTGTTAATATTTCTTATCAGTACCTGAGTCAACCACACTGTCAGGAATAGTTTATATTCCAGGCAGCAGTCAGTTTCCCAAATCGGCTCTGTATTACATTTGTATCCCATAAACAAGTCAGTATGATTGATGAGCTAGCCCTTAACTTAGTCTCATAAGCAACACTGCTGTAATCTAGTCTGGACACTGTCATGTTTCTCTTTGATAACTATGACTAACCCCCCAGACAGCCTCTCCATTTCCAACACTCTCATCATGGTAATCAGGGAAAGTGCTATGTGTGACTCACCCCCCCCCCCAATTCAGACCTCATAGCAGCACCCCAATCTTCTTCAGTGCAAAGGTGCCTTACAAGACCTGTAGACCTAATTTCCTCCTACTTATTTTCATTAAGTCCAGCTCTTATAAAAACCCATTCCATTCTGCTTGGTCCACAATAGAACTTTAGCTGCTGTATGACCATACCAGGTATGGCCAGTCTTAGCATCTGCTCTTGGTGATTTGCTCTCCTTTACAAAAACTCTAATAGGGGAGTAGGTTTTGCTTATGTTTTGTAAATGACAGTTTCTTCAAGAACTTTGGACTACATTTTTAATGAATCAAAGATTTTTTCTCCCATATATCAAATCAATTTCACATTACCTCTTTAGATTAAAACAAACAAACAAACAAACAAACAAACAACAAAGAAACAAACCCTAGTTATTATTACGTTTTTAAAGACAGGATCTCCTTTTATAACAACAGCTTTGGCTGCCTGGAACTCACTCTGTAGACCAGGCTGACCTCCAACTCACATAGATCTACCTGCCTCTGCCTCCTGAGTGCTGGGATTAAGGTATGTGCCACCACAGTCTGGCATACATTTGTTTTTCTAACATTCCACAGTCTATGCTGTCAAATATGAAAATGATTTGTTCCTACACTGATACCTGGGAATTCTAAGAACTGAAAAAGCACTTCTAATACAAGGGAAATGTACCTAATGGCACTTACTGCAAGAATTAGGACAAAGCACCTATGGCAGAGCTCTGAAACGAACAGCCCTAGAAATAACATTCACCAGGATATGAACCAAAGCAAAATAATGAATCCTAATCACAACAGTAACCTCAAAAGAAACCTTTGCTTAAGAATTCTGATATTTAGGGCAAACAAGAGAACGTACCAATAAAGGAAATAAAGTCCCAAACATTTCCTTGGTATCACCCTAATATCTTAACTTTAACTTAATCTTCTATTACAGAGGTTTAAATGCCCACATATGTTTGCATTAAAAAATAAAAGTGGGACAAACCTTGAGTAATTGCAAAACCAACCAATGCTGTTGTCATACCTACTATCACCACTGGCAAATGAGACCCAAAGACAATGAAAGAAAATGTAAAATCATTTCCAAATCTATTTCTGAGAATACAATTAATCAGATTTACCCTCTTTAGTTTCACCATCAATAATTAATGAAAACATTGCCATTACTAATAGGAAAATGAAAGTGAATCCTCTCAGAGGCACTCTTGCTGTCTTGTAATTGCTGGTGACAGGGCTCTCAAGTCTCACATATTTAGGATAACTTTTTCTATAATAATGACAGTTTTCCTTAAGAAGCTACTGACCGTTTCCACATACATAAGCAATTTATACTTGCTAAGGCTCACCTGGTTTCTAAGAACTATTTTTCCCTCATGAAGGGTGCCTGTACACACATCATTACTGTTTACTGGTGGACAAACACCAGCTCTTAGTAAATTAGAGTGAATGCCTCTTCCAAGTCTTATATTCAGAATCATTTTACATTTGTTGTTTTCAGTACTAGATAGCCCTGCCAATTCCTGCCAGCGTGCCCTTGCCATCCTTACATTTTGAGGCTTCTCCAAGTTCTCATTTCTTTCATGTATCCAATTTACAGCGTGCCTACCCCTCCAGTCATCTACCCATCAACTCAGAGTTTATGAGACAGCATAAATTACAAGAGCGCAGCTATAGAGTTCATATTACCTAATCACAGAATCTGTTCTGCTGTACCCTGGGATGGAAGAAGCCTTTTCTCCTGGAGATCCCAAAATTTGAAGTGTTGTATTAATGTCAACTTCAGATGAATGCTTAATGGAATATTCCATTATTTCTGGAGGTATTAGCGGAGTCTCTCCCTGAGTATCATCAGCTAAGAGGTAGCCTTCAGTTTAAAAAAAATTAAAAATGAACACTTAACAAATCTATTTACCAAATTGCACTATAAATGCTTTCAGTTTTGAATTATATACATCACATATGTTGATGTAAAAGTAAATTAGGTTAACCTGTTAATTTCAAGATGAGGTGCAGAAACTGTCCATTTCTCAGAAAATTAAAATCCTCAAAAATTATATAGCAAAGGTAAAGGACAAATGTTTTAATCATCAATCTCATAATTCATGATGATATGTAGGCTTTGAAAACTGGAGTAATTTATTCTGTCAAGTTAATGGGAATTCTGCCATTATCTCAGGAATCTATCTATCCGTAACTTTTTAAAAGTCAGTTTTTTTCCCCTTTATTACAATAAAGAAACACTAACTAGGTCTAGTGGGCAAGGAAAAAGACCCTAAAAGTCAGACTGCCTAGATTTACATTTCAGCTCCAAAAGTTAACTGCAGTATGACCATTTCTTATACTTTCAGCTTCTTATTTGCTAACTGGGGATGGGGATGCTGATGAGTAACACACTCAGCAATACCAATCAGTGGGCTACAATGAGATCCAAAGGAACATACAACAGGCCCTGAATATGACAGCCAGTGGTTTTAAAAATATGTATGTATTGCTATGTCAGCAGCAGCTATATCCAAGTTTCATTAAATACTATGTATGAACTATATATATATTTTATTGTTGTTTGAGACTGGGTCTCCCTATGTAGCCCAAGCTGACCTCAAATTCACAACCCTCCTGCACCAACCTCCCAAGTGCTAGAATTACACACCCAGCTCTAAACTATTATTCTTAACATATGAGGCTTCTTTTAGGGTTTAATTGGTTTCACGGGCAACTACATTCTAAGAAGAAAAAAGAAACTGACCTGTAACTAAAATAAGCCAGTGAATATCTTCGTAGAGATCATCAAGCATTTTGTTGTCAATGGTGCTTGATCCAGGTGAAACAAGTAGTTGTTGCTGCTGTCGCTGTAACTGACCATGGAGTCTTGTCACCCTTTCTTCTAATAAACTAAAAAAGGAAAGAAACAATAGCTTCACAAAGTTCAGGATAGGAAGGCTTAAGATAATTGATAACTTCCATATAATCAACAACATAAACTAAGATGCTAGCACAAAATATACATATTCAAAAATATTATGGTATACAACTGATCTCAAGAGCACTAAGGAATTGTAACCTATACTTTATGATATAGAATTAAAATAACATTTTACAAACAAGCAATGTATCTGAAACTGCCTGTTCTAAGTCATTTCTCATGCCATATTTTCCATAATTACTGTTATCTATGCCATAGTGCCTGGGCTCCAACTGTATTGCCAACAAATGCAATCATTACATGCTTCTGTCCATTGGATCCAGTGTGCTGTGACACAGGATGGGGGTGTTTAAAGTTCAGGGAACTGTGAACACAGAGCATTTCTCCACGGGGTTTCCGGGACTGAGTGTACCTTGTCAGAAGAGGCATACAGTGTTCGGCGGCAATTCTTCCTAACATTCCCACACTGGCTAGTTGATCAGAAAACTGATCTCGATCATCTTCTTGAAGTTCGCTTATTTCTTCTTCCTCACGAGAGGCCACACCATTGGCAGTCTGTTTGGTGAAAGGAGGAGAAACAATGAGGAAATGAAGCATCATGTTCCATAAGGCATGTGTCTGTGGCCCTATCAAGTGGCTTCAGGAGGAGCTGGACAGAGCCAGCCTGCAGTTACAGCTTTCTAGGATACCTTTCTAAGCATGTCAGCAGCCCTGAAAACTATCAAAAGGATGAGGATAGCACTGAGGAGAAGGAAGGGCAGAAATGCTCCCCTGTGCACACAGTAACATAGCTAGCCACAAACCTACAGCTCACCCCTTATACTGGGGATTGCCACTTTTCATTAAAATAATTTGGCATTTTAGGATTTCCTAGTCCTTTGAATATGGGATGCATTTAACATAAGATGTTACCAGGGGACCTGGTAAGACAGAAGTGGCTAAGTAAAAACATGAAAAGTTCTTTATATGTAACAGCCCACATATGAAGTACTCAGTAAGTAGATAAAAGGAACCACTTTTCTCGGCTGGGCGTTGGTGGTGCATGCCTTTAATCCCAGCACTCGGATCTCTCTGAGTTCGAGGCCAGCCTGGTGTCCAGAGCGAGTGCCAGGATAGACTCCAAAGCTACACAGAGAAACCCTGTCTCGAAAAACCAAAAACCAAAAAAAACCAAAAAAACAAACAAACAAAAAAAGGAACCACTTTTCTCTCAGCAAATCTTTGAGGGAACCTATCTCAAATTTCTAGTATTTTAAACTGTCTAATATGATTAAATAGAACACTCCACCTTGCTTAAAACTTACCAAATTTCTTGTGCCATCCGGAGCAGCAAGGTGGCACTGAATATAGGAATTGAAAACTTGAACAGCATGCTGAGTAAAAAAGCCTTTATGGAAATGCTTGTCATCTTGGACCAAAGTTAGCCAGGACTCCAGCAATTTATCATATGCTTCCATGTATACCATGTCATCCTTGTCAAGCTGGAAGAAAAGAGCATTCATAAAACACATGGCCAGGGAAATCCAATTGTGGTATGGGACAAAAACAACTTTAAAAGTCTTTTTAGAAGACAAGTATTTTCAATTATTAAGCATTTATTAAGCTTTCTTAAATTTCTCTAAATTTCAAAAGAAATAATTATCTGGCAATATGGAATTAATGTTTAATTTAGCAGACTAACTGCTTAGTGATTCGTGGGAAATATGTTTTTTTCAATAAAAATAGCATTAACTATTTGAAAAGCTAAAAAAATTGCATACACACCACACATAAAAAATATTTTCTTATACAACACTGTTTTTCCAGTACTGGAATAGAATCGTGAGCCTCATGCATGCCAGGCAAGTACTCTACCACTGGGTTACAAACTTCAAGCCCAACATTTTCAAGTGACTTCAAAACTGGAAGAAACAAGCTGACCTAATCAGAGAGCTAGGAATTACATGGGGGAAAAACTTCATAGAACTTCCTTAACAAGAAAGAATTTATTTTAATAAAAAAGGACAGCTAATTCCACATAATAGAAAAGAATATAGTCAAGAAACATAATGGCCACTGATTCAGCTCATAATATTAGAGAATGTGAAAGATAACCCATCAGTAGAGTTAGCTAGTAGTGTAAGAATGTAAAAATGAAGCCAGGCCTGGTGGCGCACACCTTTAATCCCAGCACTCAGGAGGCAGAGGAGGGTAAACTAGAAAAAAGAAATAAGCAAGTAAAAAACCAAAAGGAAGCCAGACCTTTCCTCACCCATCCAGCTGAGCCCCTCACCACCAGGGCATACACACAACCTTACCACAGACTCGTCCATCGGCAAAAATACCATGCTGCACAGACTGCCATAGTCTTAACCATTTCTGGTGGTTATTCACAATTTTCATTTCCCATTTTGTCTTGTTCTTTCATGAATAGCTGCTATTTCTCAGTTAAACTTCCACACCAAAACTACACCAAGACAAAGAATTTCCTAAGAACTAGGTAGACACACAAATAATATACTACAGAGCTATTTGTGGTATAAAATCCCTCCCTAGATTCATCTATTATTCTGCTGAAAGGACACTGTACTTAAAAAGCTGCAAAGACCAGGAAACGGGGGTTAGCTGGACCCATAGCAGAGAATGCCAATGCCACTGAGAAGACACTGCCTCACAAAGGAAGTAGGCTGTAAGGCAAGGAACATTATCGAGATGGCCTCAGGAGATTGGGCGTTCTCTTACTTACAGCAAGAAGCCACTGCAATATACACGAAAGCACATGCAACAAAAGCACATGGCATCATTTTTTTTAAAAAAGAAAAACCACATTGCCTGTACTGTGCAATATGGCAGTGGCTCCGGTGAATATGATCAAAGTATGTTACACACATGTGAAAATTGTTTTGTTCAGTTAATATATACTGCTTTAAAAAACAGCAAGGAAAACAAAACAAAACAAACAAACAAACAAAAAAACACTGCTAAAAGCCAAAGCACAATATTGGTTATAAACAATGAGAAAGATGGCTTTGTTCCTTCTATAATTTCATCAAATGCTAAGAGCCAAGCATTGGAATCCTGAAGTGAATAGGATACTTTCTTCCCATAGAAACATCTGTGGCTTGTTTATATACTTAACAAGGCATGTGCTTTACAGACATCATTTGTCAGGTCTTAACAGTTTATCTTGCCAAAATAAACAGACTGGTAACATTTCTAACAGGAATAAGGAGTAACATCCCTTGAACCAGCCTCAAAAAGAAAAACACAGGACATTTTTAAAGAACAACTACCATTTTCCGAAGTACATATTTAAGATATGCATCAAAGTGTAAAAGTATCTTTTAAAAGTTAAAGCCTCACATGCGTTGTTAGTATTAAAGGAATTCTCCATAATGCCTCCATTAAGCCCTGATATTGGAATGATCTCAAGTAGAATGCACAAGTCCTTACACAATGGGAGTGATTTAAAATAAAGACAGACGTTCATGGGGGAAAAAAAACAAAAGAAACAAAAAACAAAAACAAACAAACAAAAAAACTGGTTTTCTCTGTGTACCAATAAAGTAACTCATCAGACAAAGTGTGAGAAATTTGGTTGATGACAATTGGCAACTGGATCTTCCAGACTAATCCCAGAGAAGTGAAACCTAAGCTAGTGCTTTTTCATAATACCTTGGCTCTGCTCCATGGCCACTCTGGCCTAGACCCAGCGGCCCAGCCAGCACCCTGGCTGGCAGCATGTAGACAGATGACTAAGGAGACCAATCTAGACACTATGTGCTCATGCTCTGAGCATTGACAGGCCTTACTGCCAGAAGGCTCTGGAGAGGGGCTTAGAGCTTGTGGGACCTACTTGACCCCACTTTACTGCATTTGAAAATGAAGGAGGGGGGTAGAAATAAAAACATGATTACCAGCACTTCTCTCTGCCCACAACTAGCCCGAAGGTGTACAGAAGCATGGACATGCAGTGCTTCAGGCACAGAAAACAATGTACATTTATGCTTTGATAATTTTGAATATATAATTCCAAAAATACTGAAACATTCTCTCAAGTGAATGTTTATAAAGAAATCTCTCAGTACAGGAATCTGCTCTGACCCATGCCTGACAATGAATGTAATTTCAGAGACTTAAGTTCAATAGTATTATATGATTCCAAGTAGAAGACATTCTGGTAGGATTATAGGGACAATAATAAGAGTAGGGCTGGACATGGTGGTGCACACATTTAAATTCCATCATTTGGGAGGCAGGGGCACAGAAAGACGTGGGAGAGGAGAGGGGAAGA